TAGAAATTGTTGCATGGTGGACCGATTTATTTCCTAACTTCTGCTACACGTTTTAAATATTTGCCGTCTTCTTTTTATGACAATAGCAGCAGCAGCTCAGGAGGTAGAATGGGTTGTCCAGTATTTGCAGGGTTGTAGGATCAATTCCAGTTCCTGTTAGAGAACACTGCTGTTGTGTCCTTGAGCAAGGCACTTAACCCACCTTGCCTACTGGTGATGGTCAGGTGGTGCCAGTGTTCGACAGCCTCGCCTCTGTCAATGAGCCCCAGGGCAGCTGTGGCTCCAGTGTCATCATCACTAGATTGTGAATGTGTGTGTGAATAGTTGAATGGCTGATTGTGTTGTAATGCACCTTGGGGGGTTCTAGGACTCTAGAAGGCACTATAGTAAATACAGGCCATTTGCATTTTATTATTAGATTAACTCAGACCACTAAATTCTAATCTCCTCCTTAATCTGCCACCTTGCCATGGTGGATGGGTTTGAGGGCCCTGGTGATATTTGAAGATGAGGTATCTCAGGGCTAACTGGTCCTGTAAAGTGCTGGGTAAAGATGAGCTTCCTCAACAGGGTGGTTGGCCTCAGCCTTAGGGTTGGGATGAGGAGCTCTGGAATCGAAGAGGGACATAAAGTACAACTGCTGCTCCTCTACGTCAACAAGAGCTCAGCACTTTGGGCTTCCTGACAGGGATGCGGAAGGCGCTTTATAAATAAAGCTTTGATTGATTGATTGATTGGTTGATTGGTTGATTGGTTGATTGATTGATTGACTGATTGATTGATTGAAGAGCTAGCTAAAATGGTTCAAGCAAATGGTAACAGTGCCACCTGCAGGGGTTATTTCTCTTACTGGTCCAAAGATCCCCTTGGAGTCCCTCCAGAGGGGCTGGGGGAGGTCAGCTCTCCCCACAAGCCCCAACCCAGATGAGAGGAAGTAAGAGCTCTAAATTCATCTTTTTAACCAAAACTTTTAAAAGTATTTACAGGGAGAAAGAAGAAATTAAAAATAAAGCTTTTTCTTCCACTTCTAACCCCGGCTTTCCACAGCAGCCGTCAGCAGCACGTTACTGCAGCAGCACGTCATAGCTGCTGATAGGAACGGCTGTGGTCAACAGAACCTTTTCCACAGGAGCCGTCAGCAGCCGTCAGCAGCGCGAGTCGGCCGCGTCTCAGGAGCAGCATGTCGCGGCCTTTACGCGCCGGTTCTATTTCCTACGCGCGACGCCTCTGAAACGGGTCAAGTTCGACATTTTTGGGGAAGGAAAGACAGGAAATCGGACGCGGAAATGGAGAGAAGCTCCCGAGATTTTCAGAATAAAGAACGTACTGCCTTCCGGTTGCTTTACTTTAAAAAAGGTTACTAACTGTGCGGCCCCGTGAGAAGTTATCACCTAGCTAGCGGTCTCCTTTGTTTTTCAGGTCCGTATTGGCGATTATAAAACGGACAGAATATAAAAACACAAACATTTTGGAGCCATGTTGTAGTTTTCTCCTGCTTGTTGTTGTGTTTACTGACGAAGTCACTCATGTGACTTCGTGCCCTGTCGGTGACAGCTGCTCCTCTGCTGCGTCGCGTCTCGTGGGAAGGGCCAAGCAGCAGCTAGACGTGCTGCTGCAGTAACGTGCTGCTGACGGCTCCCGTGGAAAGCCGGGGTAAGAATCGTCTTACCCCGGCTTTCCACAGCAGCCGTCAGCAGCACGTTACTGCAGCAGCACGTCATAGCTGCTGATAGGAACGGCTGTGGTCAACAGAACCTTTTCCACTGGAGCCGTCGGCAGCCGTCAGCAGAGCGAGTCGGCCGCGTCTCAGGAGCAGCATGTCGCGGCCTTAACGCGCCGGTTCTATTTCCTACGCGCGACGCCTCTGAAACGGGTCAAGTTCGACATTTTTGGGGAAGGAAAGACAGGAAATCGGACGCGGAAATGGAGAGAAGCTCCCGAGATTTTCAGAATAAAGAACGTATTGCCTTCCGGTCGCTTTACTTTAAAAAGGTTACTAACTGTGCGGCCCCGTGAGAAGTTATCACCTAGCTAGCGGTCTCCTTTGTTTTTCAGGTCCGTATTGGCGATTATAAAACGGACAGAACATAAAAACACAAACATTTTGGAGCCATGTTGTAGTTTTCTCCTGCTTGTTGTTGTGTTTACTGACGAAGTCACTCATGTGACTTCGTGCCCTGTCGGTGACAGCTGCTCCTCTGCTGCGTCGCGTCTCGTGGGAAGGGCCAAGCAGCAGCTAGACGTGCTGCTGCAGTAACGTGCTGCTGACGGCTCCCGTGGAAACCCGGGGTAAGAATCGTCTTACCCCGGCTTTCCACAGCAGCCGTCAGCAGCACGTTACTGCAGCAGCACGTCATAGCTGCTGATAGGAACGGCTGTGGTCAACAGAACCTTTTCCACTGGAGCCGTCGGCAGCCGTCAGCAGAGCGAGTCGGCCGCGTCTCAGGAGCAGCATGTCGCGGCCTTTACGCGCCGGTTCTATTTCCTACGCGCGACGCCTCTGAAACGGGTCAAGTTCGACATTTTTGGGGAAGGAAAGACAGGAAATCGAACGCGGAAATGGAGAGAAGCTCCCGAGATTTTCAGAATAAAGAACGTATTGCCTTCCGGTCGCTTTACTTTAAAAAGGTTACTAACTGTGCGGCCCCGTGAGAAGTTATCACCTAGCTAGCGGTCTCCTTTGTTTTTCAGGTCCGTATTGGCGATTATAAAACGGACAGAACATAAAAACACAAACATTTTGGAGCCATGTTGTAGTTTTCTCCTGCTTGTTGTTGTGTTTACTGACGAAGTCACTCGTGTGACTTCGTGCTCTGTCGGTGACAGCTGCTCCCCTGCTGATTCGCGTCTCGTGGGAAGGGCCAAGCAGCAGCTTACTCGAGCAAGACGTGCTGCTGCAGTAACGTGCTGCTGACGGCTCCCGTGTAAACCCGGGGTTATTCTGCTGGATGACTCTGCCCTCATTCACTGTAATGACACTTCAGCCCAGTAAATCTGTCATTGCAGGGTGACGGACCATACAGTGGAAACAGACCTGCAGGGCTAGGTAATAGAGTTTCAGGCTGGGTTTGGGACAGGACAGGACAGGAAGCTGTCATGCATCAGGAACTTTCCCAATTGCAGCAGCACAGGTCACATTGTGCCTTACTTACTCCCTTTCATACCAACTCACAAGTAAAATGCCTTCATACCTTTGAACGGCACTAAATGTGCAACATCGCAAAAATGGAAAGCATTTGACGGTTAATATCCACACGTCTGGACTGCTTTTCTGCTGCTGAGCAGGGTTTTTAGAGCAGGATCACCTGTAAGTGGTTCTGTTTTGCTTCTAGGTGTCATTTCCTGTCAGGTCAGCTTGTCCGTCATAACAGCCTCAGCAACCTCTCAGGACTAATTAGCCAAAAACCGCATCTGGTGCAATCTGCTGTCATCTGGCAATACCAAACTTTGGTTGAATAGAGATAAAATTATCCTTGAATCATATAAAACCAAGAATAAAAGGAACCTGTAAAGGTGCTGCAGCACTACTGAGTTCACAATGGACACACACACACACACACACACACACACACACACACACACACACACACACACACACACACACACACACACACACACACACACACAGAACTTAATTGAAGGCTGAAGGTTTTTCTTCATCATGTGAAAAGGTACCCGACGCCATTAGGCTAGTTTTAAGAACAAGAAGCCACAGGTGGCAACAGTGAGGATGTAACTCTACCTGAGCTTGTCAAGATAATGAAATGAGATCATGCCTGCTAACCACAACAAAATGAGCCTGGCCCTCAGCTGCATGAGATCTAATAAAACAACCGGTAACCGAATGATCACATCCAGAGTCTCAAGCCTGATTACATGAGTTTACAACCCCTTTTCTCCTGTCTGCCTTCACATGGTGCCCACCGGGCACTCCCGCTGGGTTTGATAAAAGCTTTTATCTTTGTGTAACTTGCTGTGCTTCTTAATGGCACTTCCTGTCTAAACACAGCCAGGCAATAGAACATGCAGCTAAAAGGGCCTTCCACTTCCTCCTGATCTGATGAGTGATGGTCATTGTTTCCAGAAGGAAGTTTGGACTTTACTAAACCCAACTGTTGCGCTCCCGCAAAAAGCACACAAGAGTATTTGTCTCAGTCATCTGTTCTCTTCCACTTGGTTAAAGATCATCTTAAACGTTGGTAAAGAGTGAAGGTGACCTACAGGAAGAAATGGACCGAATCTGAACCAGTGCTCCAGGATTATTAAAACACCCAAACAATCATTTATACACTTCGGTTAAGATTGTTGTACCTTTTTATGCTAGATTAGTCTAGTTTTCCAAGGATGGTAAATAAAATATGATAAATTATGGTTTACAGGCATGATTGTGGCAAATAGGTGGTTCAGAGGTGAAACATCCAATCTAGTATCAAGTATTATCTCAGCTATGCCACACCTCTTCAAGTTCAAAAATGGATAAAAAGGCTATTTGACAGAATTTTATTTCCTTTTTGATTTCTTTTTCTGCCAATATTATTCTTTTACAAGATCTCGCTGGTTGAAGAAATGTTTGTGAGAAACTGTGAGAAGCCTGATTCCATGAGTTTAAAAGCTAATAAACATTACACCACCAGAAAGGAAGTTTTGGACTTTCCTGCCTGTTGGAAAGTCCTATCAGGCCATAACAGGGATTAATCAGATTTAATCTCAAATCACTGGCTTAAGCAGCTGAGGATGATGATAAAATACAAACACGTACATTTTTAGATCTTCTAGAACAACATTTTAGTGTTTTAAACTAAAATATGATCATAGTACAGAATACATAAACATGCTTCTTGCTTGAGCTTTACATTTTAGTTATTGATTTCTCTGCTTCTGTAAGGCCCATAAAGACCAACGCCTACTTCATATCACAAATATTCACCACCAGTTTGGGACTAATCGTGGTAATTGTCACACAGACAGATGAACATCAGTAGTGATGCTATTTTACTTACTTGGAGGAATCTATGAAGTATATTACAAGGGCTCCAATACTGAGTGCAAAAACGAGCACCACCTGTAAAAAAAGAGAAAATGACCCAATTATTCAAACTGCATTCAAATCAAAACACAGAAATAGAGCCCGTCAACATGGCTGCCAGTGCAACATTCAGTTTAGGGGTGCACAATATGTAAATTGTAAATATCAGCGATTTTTACGTTCTACGCATCTGTATGTCGATCTGGTGGACTATGTTGATGATATCCACAAATTAATTAGATGATACAACCTGCCGCTACAGGAAGTTAGAAAAGCAGCCAATAAAACTACAAAAATTATTATTTTAACCATTTTTGCCATTTAAGCCGCTTGGACAGATGACTACTGTTGAGATAGATTTAGTTTGAATGCTACTGTGGATTTTATGTTTCTAATCAAACGCTATCATGATAAAACCTCCTTTAGTAACAAGTGATACATTTTCTGTCTGCCACATTAGGTCTGCTAACAAAGTCTCGTGTGTTTAAGTTAATTAAATATGAACTTTAATGTCAAGTTTGCCCGTAGCAACTCCTGCAGCACCAGCCTTCCAGTGCACACCTGCTTCTAAGCCTGTGTTGATTGTGTTATATTAACTTATTTTGAACAAGAGTTCAGTTATCAGTAAATATGCAGAAAAAATGTCTGCTCATTTTGTAAAACTGGCACAATGTAATCAGCTTGCAGAAGCAAAATCAGGAAGGATAAACCAGGAGCAGACTGTTTTTACCAAACCAGGGCGTCACTTTTGCCTTGTCACCCTGACTTCTCCTGCAGAAGGGATGCTGGTAAACAGACCAAAACCTGCAGCGAGCGAACAGATTGTCAGAGCAGACCGCGAGGCAGGTTGCAGGTTAGTAAACATGAGATTCCTGTGTTAGTGAGAACAGAGAATGGAGTTGTCAGGTGACAATTCTGACACGGATAGACGAAAGGTGAAATGTAACCACTAATGCATTTGTCGAAGGAAATCACACTAAACTGTAATTACAGATAGTGAAAAGTAGACTGAACTGAGTTTTTACTCAGTTTTTACTTTTTTTCAGAAGAAACTCTAAAATCAAACTAGGGCATGCGCCAAAACGCAACTAAACCAGAGCAAAGTTCACAGGTTTGCCCTCGTTACTGAACTAGCTTTCTGACATTTACGGTAAGCGACAATGATTTTATATTTTTACATAAAACGCTAATTGTGCTGATCCATCAATTGATGTTATTCTACCAAAAGCAAAGCAGTTAAGTTGTATTATTGTGAAAGGACTGCCCTAATTTTCTCCTTCAAAGTCAGAGCGGATGTAGACGAGGGCTCAATCCAAAGAGACCCAGATATGAACAGGGAGGTTTCTGCAGGACAGCAGAACAAATGTTTTACACGGCAGGGTTATCTGTGTCACTACCTGGCTTTCATCTATTTAGAAATGACACAATGGCAATCCTGAACAAGAAACCAATGAGCATGCATAATGAATAAGCCCAGCCTAATTCATTTCCATGATGTGAAATTGTACTGTCAACCTGCAACCACTGATGGTTTGGTAATGGCAAAAAGCTCCTGCATTCATTTTTAATCAGCCCCCTTTCTTTGATAGCTGGGAATCTCTTTTTGCCACAGAATCTCCAAATTTGGGAACTGGAAATAATCCTGGTGAAACCCTATGCCAGTCTGGCTGACAACGCTCCGGCTGCAGCTGTAAATAAAGGCCGACGTAAAGAGTCACGACTGCATTTGTCAGTCAGGTGTCAGCAGATGGTGCATCAGTCACGCAATAACGATGCATCACATCTGGACCTCCAGCCAGCCGTCAATTGCTTCATAGCAGATGGCTCCGCCCTCAAGAGGCCACAGTGAGGAACGAGGAAACAACCACTGCATGACAGCAGAGGCCTGCCAGGACACCCATTTTACATTTACTTCTGCCAGCGCACTTTTCACCTTTTTAACTCTGCCAGCTTCACCACAATTATGGGAGGGAGCACAATAGAGAGAGAAATAAAATTTTCCTAAAATGTAACAAAGTAATGACTCTCTGTAAAACAGCAAAGCTCATTTGAGTATTTCACTAATATTTGAAGTCAGCATTTCAGTTTAAGCATATTATTTTAAAATTTTGAAAGTCTGAAAATGTGTCCTAGAATTCTTCCTTAAATGTTAACAGACAAAAAATGTGAAGTAGAACAGAAAAGCCTTTTATTGTCCTGCGGTGGTGACATTTTGGTGAGAGAAGAAATGAAGCTATGACAAAAAATATAATACAAGGAAAAATAAATCTATGCTTAAGTGTGTCAAACTGTTTCAACCAAAGCTGTCAATCAATTAATCTTCTGCCATTTATCTGAAAACGGTCCACAGGGACTAAAACATTGTCAGAAATACCCAGACACTCATGTCCCCGACTCCTCCTCACCTGGAGGGATTCCAAGGTATTCCCATGTGAGGTACCTCTACAGAGAGTCCCCAGTTTCCTCCCAATGACATGTCTGAAACACATCCTGTGGAAGGCATTCTGAAGGTATACTCATGGGATGTCCACACCACCTCGACTGGCTCTGTTGAATGGCAGCTACTCCACTGTGAGCTTTGTATGAACCATATCCTCATAACCACACAGTTGTGGGATTGAGTCCTGCTCAGTCTGTTGCAGTTGTTGTGTCCTTGGGCAACCCACCTTGTCTGCTGGTGGTGGTCAGAGGACAGGTGACACCTGTGTGTGGCAGTCTTGTTTCCATCAGTGCACCCTAGGGAGCCTCCACTGTGGACCTTGGCCCTTTGGCACACTAAGAGAAATGTTACCAACCTGGGTGTAAAAATTGACTCAGTGCTAACATTTGATGCACAAATTAACACTGTAGTACGTTCCAGGTTTTTTCATTTGAGACACTTGGCTAAGATCAAGCCCCTGTTCTCTAGGGAGCACCTACAAGCTGTTATTCATGCATTCGTTCTGTCCAGACTTGACTACTGCAATGCACTGCATGCCGGTTTGATTCAGAGTGCGATTGCTCGCCTACAGCTGGTTCAGAACTCCGCTGCTAGGTTTCTGACATGTACAAGATGGCGTGTCCATATCACAGCAGTGTTGGTGGAACTCTACTGGCTTCCTATGTAGTACAGAGCAAAATTCAAAGTGCCGATGCTCGTGTGCAGGGCTCTTCACGGTAATGCTCCTGCCTATTTATCAGCACTGCTATCAAGGGCTTGTCCCCACCCACTCTCTTCATTCTGGTGACCAGGAACTACTGGTGGTCCCTTGTTCCAGATGCAAATCTAGGGGAGATCGTGCATTTGCGGTCCTTGCTCCAACTTTGTGGAACGGTCTACTTTTGACTGTTAAGCTGGCACCTTTCTTTCAGATTTTTAAGTCACGTCTGAAGGCCCATTATTATGTCGAGGTAATGTTACCACTGGGGTCTGCAATTTTGTCTTGATTTTAATTGTTTAACAATTGTTCTCATCTGTTTTTTATGCTATTTTTTATTCTGTTTTTATTTTTTATTGTTTTTATTGATGCGATTGCCTGTTAAATGTTGTGTTCAGCACATTGGGTTTCTGCTACAGGTTGTGGAAGGTGCTCTATACATGAATAAATGAAATTAATAAATGAATATCATCACATTCTGAAAATATGAATATTACATTTCAAGCATGCGAATGTATATTGTACAAAAATGAGAAGTATACTGATAGAACCATAAAAGTAGCACATTATAATGTGGAATTATAATTTTTTTGCATGGGTGACAGCTCTATGGTTCCGTACGTTTCTGTGTGTTCAAAAACGCAAACGTTCTACTTCTTTGGGGGTCGTCAACTGTCACAAAATTTTATCGCCCAGTATTCCTGAATAAGTTGTGCAGGTCTACATCTGGAGTTCAGCAGCAGGCACGCAGAAGTCAACCTGCAAATGTCAAAGAACCCACTCACACTTCTCCACTCTTCCTGGAGCGTGACTCACATCAGTCGGCATGAATAGCCTGCCACTGTGACAGGAACTGCATTTAGGCAGAAAAATCATGTAATCTGTTGCTGCCAGGGAGAACTTACTGTTATCTAAACTCAGTTTTCTTTTGAAGATGGAGAGAAGAAAAAATGTCTCAAGGTAATACAAGAAAAAAGTCTGGTATGCGGAACAGGATTAAGAAGATTTTTGTTCCACATTCTCAGCAAAACATTTGGAAAGATATTGAACATTTGCTGTAAAGTGCCTAACATTTCTAACAGATAAAAGTATATAGCACAACTCCAGCAGACATTTTACATTTTCTACAGGTCTCATGAATTCCTGAGTTTACGAGTGGTTCATTTATGTGGTAGAAACTTGTTGGGGAGACCACCTGAATGCACAATACTGAAGCAAACTCAGAAGACAGAGAACATTTTCAGCCCTTTTACTGTAAACCATTGAGGTAAAAAGCATTTCTAGTGCACCTCTTTTATAATTTAAATGTTCAGGGGAGCAGAAGCGTCTGACTTACTGTTCCTTAAGGGTGACAGGTCCACAGCATTTTCCTTAGCAACACTTTTCAGTATAAAAAACCTGAAGCCTACCATGCAGAACTCTATAAAACACAAATATATACGACTGCAAACATGGATGTTTAAATGCCTGCATGCTCGCGCTTCCTCATGAGGTTAAAACTATAGAAATATTACAACCGCACATTAGTATCAATCTCAATACTTTTGTTTCTGCGAAGGGCACACCAAGAGTCTGACTTGGTGTCTGTGAGGCTCCAGTAGATGTAAAGCTAATGTAAATATTTGTATGATGTTTTACTGTTTGTGATGACCACTTGTTAACTGTTTACCCTTTGCCCTGAGTGATACCGGTAAATGAGTGTATTCATAACAACATTCGACCTTGACCCAGAAAGCAACACTACTGTTGAAACCTGGCTCTTTTAAAGTGGTGATGTGCCTTTTCCCTGGCGATTGGGGGCAGTGCAAACCTAAATCATTGCAAGCAAGTGGTATTTTTATATTTGAGTAAGACCTTACCAATGGATGCCATTAGGGTCTAAAATCACTGGAAGTGCGA